GAATTGACCGATTCTGTTTTGAGATAGGGTAGAGAAAATAACATATAAACTATAAGGATTCAGTGAAAAAAACGTTTGAAATGCATTTATTTAGGAGGTTTTAGGGATTACACAAAGGAAATTTTAATTTTAACATGAAAATTACTTTGCAAACGGACTATTCAAAACGAATACTCAATATATTCATGAACAAAACTTTATTTTATTTTAGTAGAAATACCTCACTAAGAAATATGACTTTTTGTATGTGAAAGACTTGTAATATTAACTGAAAGGCTACCAAATTTCGTGAAGATATACCCAATATATACAGAGTTATAAATATTAAATTTATAGCTTTAAACGAGTACAAAAGGTCACGTGACTCAGTCAAATTGACCGACCCCGTATTGGGAGAGTTAAGCTATAAATAGGTAAAAAAATTCCATTACTGCTCAGAATAGTGATTTTACTCAACATACAACAAACTTAAGAATCTTTTACATTACAATTTGTTCTTTCTATTGTTTATAAACGTGCCCATCAAACTAATAGGCATAAGTTAATTTTCTTGAAATGCAGGAAAATATGGAAGGGGTTCCTCTGGGGAGTTTAACAAATTTATTGATATCTTAGCAAATATACGAATGTTCAAATTCTACATTTGAGTTTTTATTATTTATAGCTTGGGTTTCAATCTGTTATACACTATAGAAGCTATACTATTTAAGTTATAAAACCTAAAAGAGAAAATTGAGAGCACATGTGAATTATGTGACATTGAGAAGTGAAGACTGATAATATTTTTGAAATTAGGATACTAAAATATAAATAATGCAACTCTGTAAAGGGTCATTACTTGCACATTTTCACCCTCCTGTATGGAAAGAGTTAAGAGCATATCACACTAAAATAAAACAAAACCTACCAGTATGTCTTCCATCATGTGTTCAGTAAATACTTGTTTTTCCAGCAAAAATGGAACAATTTGCTTCAGGTTTATTACCTTACTCAGCTCTATGAAATTTGACCTGAGAATCTCTCTATGATCTGGATCCATTTTGATTTTCTTTTCACTGCAAGTTTAAATAAAAAAAAGTTGAAATTGAATATAATTTGTACAAACTTAGTAATTTTTCATAAATCAAAATTAGTGAAAAAACAAGAGAAAGCGAATATTTTATCAAATTTAGTAAATGGATTTGTGCATACACAGCATTCTAATTAGTTTAGCTAGCAACTAATTTGTTTTACCCATTAAATGGATATTAACAATTAATTTTATTTCACCTTAAGACATTTATATTTATGGTAGAAATGCAACACAGGAATCTAATGCTCTATATACCTGTAATTCATTCTTTAATATGAATTTTTTATAAATCTCAGTCATATTCCTGAGTCCTTCTACTGTGGAAAAATAACATGTCAAGACATTTTTCCCTATTCCCATATAACCTTTCAAATCATGAAATCATAAAAACAGCTCTTCTCTGACTGCTTTCCAAAAACTTAAGATCCTTTCAGGAATAAGGTGACGAAAAGTGAACAAAATATTTCAAATGGGGACTAATCAGCTAGCTCCTTACACTGATTATCACCTTCAATTTCTACTCAGTATTTTTGGTACTGTATACCACATAAAACTCAGTTTGCCAAGTTCCTAGCTAACATATGTCATCTAGATGGCTTTAGATATTTATTTCCATCTGTGATATTCTCAGATTAACTGGTTTTCATTAAGAGTATCAGGTCAGTCCAGTTTACAACAACAGATTCAATGAGGATAATTACTGAGTAAACTTAAAGTTGACTAAACAGACTGAGTTTCAGGCTAAGAAAATCAACAGAAAATATATGACTTACAGCAAAATCCTGCTGGCAGAGCAAGTACTATCTCTAAGAAGACAAGTGAACAAATGTAAAAAACAAAAACCACTAAATCAATGGTTTCCTGGACCACATGTTTATGCAAAAACTGCATGGAATCAGAAAAAATGAAAACTTTCATAAACTTTTACATTAATTAAGGGCATAGACAATGCATGGTATGCTTGCATACCACACTTCTCCTACTTTTTCTATTTTAGGCTTGTCCTCAAGCCAACAATTAAATTTAACTTTAACTTAAAACTCACAACTTGTTCAAGATGCATGTTCACTTTCTGTCATCCATACGAACAGTTACACACAACATGGATGACAACCCTTAAACAAAGAACTACAACTAATGCATCAAAAACCCTTTAACTAAAAATGAAATAACAAAAAGCACTTTACAAAATTTTAATAATACATCATATCACCCTCAGACAAATAATATAAAAACTTGATGACAAACACAGAAATAATGCATATATATATTTGTACAAAAAACCTTTTAACATAAAATTCCATAATACAAAAACATACAAAAAGAAAACATCCTTTAATGAAGATTGCAAGTACATACACATGTACATGAAATACTCCTCTTTAACAAAGAAAACATAGTCAATAACGAAAATTCACAAAAAGAAATTTAACAGGATTACATAACCTTTAAGGAGGAAGTGATTTAAGTCTTAGTAGCTCAGATATACTTATAAATAAAATGAAGTCCTATACATAAATTAGAAAGTAAAACCTAATCAAAAGAATTATGCAAATATATAAAGCAGAACATTCACTAAAATTATTATATGTATACATACACCGAAAGAAATGACAACAATTAAATAAATAAAAATAATTTACACAACATATTCTCAATTTACAAGAAGAAATGACATTGCAACTTTCTGATGATAAAGCTCTGGAGTGGACAGTTGCATGACCTTTCTAACATTGATGGACCCCAGTTTTAATGTCCAGCATCTATTTCACAAGTTAAGAGGAAAAAAGTTTGGTCATCAGTTAGTTTGCTCAGGCCAACATAGATAACTAAGCTAGTGTCTCCTAACAATGTTCTTCAATCCTGCAGCTGAGAATGACACAGGAAAATACTGGGCAACTATGAATTGATAACTGCTGACCAGATGAAGAATAAGTTCAGATTAAAAATGTAAAGCCAGGTGAATTCCAATTAGTCAGTGCACAAGATAAAGATGTTCATATGCATAGTTACAAACACTATCTATCACTTCATGTAGTGATCAAACAACATTACTATGGGCTTCATGTGTACTCACTCTTTATATTACCCATAGAACAAGTATCCCTTTTTTGCATCCTAGGATTTATCAGGTCTCCAACTAACCAAAAACTATAGCTGTGCTACACATTTATGGAAAACAGGTAAACATAGCTCACTCTCTGGCCCACTCTCATTTGTCTTCCTACCATGTGGTTTTCATGTAGATAGCACCTGCTTTCATAGGGGTCAAAACTGCAACTGGTTCCTATACATACAAGCTTACTCAGGTTAAAATTACGTTTTACTGTTAATCTTTAATAGTGCTTCCATTGTCTTTTCTTAGGAACCTTCTTTCAATTAGAAATTCATCATCAGTTTTTGGCATGATTTATAAAGCTCTCACTAAGTGGGTGTTACTTTTCACCTCTTACTAGTACACTTAACCCTATAACCTCAGTACCATTTTTAAATCCCTTTCTGGGCATGACACAAAGTGTTACTGAGTTATATTCAAAACTTAATTAAACAACTTTACTATTGATGTATTTTAAACCATTACCTGCCGTGGCCATTTCGTCTTATCGTGAGGACAAAAATCACATTTGTGAATTGAAAAAATTATAGAGAACTTATCTTTTATTGGATTTCAGATTTTATTTTTGTAAATAGTAGCATAACATTCAATTATTTATACAAAATTGTATTATTTAATGAAGTTTAAAGAGGAATTTAATGAAAAAAATCCTAAAATATGTTTGAGACTGTAAATAAGTGCCCTCTAAGAAGAAAAATTTTCCTTCCACTTCAGCACTGGTCCTGCCATCTACGATTGGTATCTAAACCTTTTTCTAGTCTGTTTTATTTATAAAATAGTGTCTGGGCATGTTAAACCTCAGTTTTAAAACTTTCACCCAATCCTAGTTGAAGGTGTCAATTTCAGTACCATTATTATAGTAACTGCGATTTTATGTAGATGTATTTAGTATTGGCCAATATTACTTTTCTATAAGCATTAGAAAACTTGCTTCTGGAAAAAACTGCATGGGATGTGCATGACTTTTATTATTTTTCTATAGTAGTTTAAGTCATGCTGCATCATATATCTATTTAAA